ATGGGAACTGAAGCAATATATAAAATGAACACTGAATGAAGTTGAGCTTTTGAATTAAATTATTAGCTTCTTAGCAAGCTAAACCACATTGCAAGTATTACCTTAACAGCAGTGGTGTCTCACTCCTTTAGTTTCCATGGGAGGATTTTCCAAACAGCTGGCAGTCTTTTTTTGTAAACTGGACAAATGTGGATGAATGACAGAGTTTGTAAAAGAGACAGAGAGAGAAAAAAAGAAAACCTGGTAAGTATATCTTTATACAATAAAGATATACTGCCATCTCTCCAGGACCTGTATGTCTCCAGGACCAGGAGGTGTGCAGTTCGCATCACAGCCGACCCTTCTCACCCTGGACACAGACTGTTTGAACCTCTCCCCTCAGGGAGGAGGCTACGGTCCATACGGACCAGAAGCTCCCGCTATAAAAACAGCTTCTTCCCCTCTGCCATAAGACTCATGAACACATAACAATATGTCAGACTCTATAACCTGCCCATGCCATTTACACTGCTCTATTTGCACACTGCTCTATTTGCACTACCTTGTATATTTTACTTTTTATATTTTTTATCCATATTTTTATCCTAAGTGTATATATTAGTCTATTTTTTGCATGCCTTATACCCACAGTGTTTTTAGAGATTTTATAGGGTTAGGGTTAGAAATCAATCTACTTTTTCATGATATCCTAATTTTATGACCAGCACCTGTATATATAATTTCTAAGGGAAAAAAAAAACTACATAATAAACATAACTTTGTATTCTACCCATCCATATCATACACACATTCACCCTCTCTATAATGAAATTCTATGAAATAATTTAGTTTTCTTTAAAAATCGAATAATTATTTGTATATGTTTACTCCTAAAATTCTTCCTCAAAAATATCTAATAAATCAATCTTTTCCTTAATACAGTCAAACTCTCTCCTCATATATCTTCTCTCGCTTTTATATTTATGACATTCCAGTATAACTGGATCTATTGTTTCATATTTTCCACAGTAATCACATTTGCCAGTAGTTTGCTTTTGAATTTTGAAAAGTGTATAATTAAGTCCTTTATGCCAAAATCTTAACCTTGTTATCACTCTCTCCTCCTTTCTATTTCATCTTCCACTCTTCTTTTTACTACTATCTTCTGAATTTTATAAAACCCTCTTCCTGTTTTTTCTTCATCGCATCTTTTTTGCCATTTTTCCATTAATTTCTCTTTAATAATACTCTCTCCCTCCGATTTACTTGTTTTAACTGTAAAACTAATAGGATTTTGAATTGCCCTCTTTATATATATATATATATATATATTTATATATATATATATTTATATATTACTAATATATAATATATATATATATATATATATATATATATATATATATATATATATATATATATATATATATATATATATATATATATATGCATCCCTAATATAATATTAGGGATGCACGATATAATCGGCCCCCTATCGGTATCGGCCTGTATCTGCCTTAAAATTGAATATCGGCCACCCCACCGATATTTAACCCGATATTTGATCAGCTTCTGAGTTGCTAAAGTCTAAAAAAAAATAAAAAAATACTACTACTTCTTCCTCAAAAACTTTTTTTTTTTTTTACAGACTTATAAACTTCTAAAGTCGAGGGAAAAAACATTAATACATTAAAATATCACAATATCTTCATATGCTGATATATTGCCATTTAAAAACACCATATCAATCTCTTTTACTAATGAAATACTGCGATATGTCATCGTTATGCTACGAAATCCCCCGAAAATTCACGAAATTTTGCCATATTTTTATATGTTGATATATTGACGCGGTATCAGTCTATTTTAACAAAATCTCACAAGAATTTGCAAAGTATCACGAGAGTTTGTAACAGAACGATGAAATTTCACGAGATTTTGAAAGTAAAATAGATCGATACCGTGTTTTTAAAAATCTATTTGATATCAGCATATGAGAATATATTTGAGTATATTATTTTTCAAAGTGTCAGAAATGGATAACAAAACTGCTATTTTCAATGACTACTTATTTTTGTCTAGCTTTAACATCGGTATCGATATCGGTAATCGGCTACATGAGTTTTAAAATATCGGCATATCAGATATTGGCCAAAATCCCAATATCGTGCATCCCTAATATATATATATATATATATATATATATATATATATATATATATATATATATATATATATATATATATATATATATATATAAAACATCAAGTCAGGTTACAGTTGCAACACTAAAAAAAGAATTTACTCCAAGGTATGGTTGTCCCTTATGTGGGACATGAATGTAATACATTATACTTTATTATATATAATATAATAAAAACTGAGGTGTATCTTTAAATTCTGGAATCTTATCATAGAACATATGAAAGTTTTTACTGAAGTAGGTTTCATTTTTCATGTAAACATAATAGACCAAAGTACATAACTGTACTATATTTTTTGTAAAGCTTACATTATTAAAATAAAACCTACTTTACATTTCCCCACAACTTAAGCATTAATTTGGCGAATCAGAATAAAGAAACTGACAGAATGACAGTTTTTTTTGGACACCTTTTACATTTTCATTCAGCACCAGAATAATCAAATCTTATGATTTGATTTGTAGCATAACATCTCAATAAATCAATTTGTGGTTGTGATACATCAGCCTGGTCAAGATTTTTGGCCGATATCAGCAGTCTTTTCTTTGTACCTGTACTGACTGAAAAGCGCATGCGTTTGCCAATTCATTGGTAGATTTAGCAGCCTTGCCTTGAAATCATCAGCATTACTGCTTTCTCCATTGTTTGATTTGTTAATAAATGTTTATTTTGGTTTAAGCTGAGATTTAAACTGAGTGTAATGGTTATTATTCCATCAATGACATCTTAAATGGAGTAAGAAAATGCCATATTGGCTCTAAAAATCGGCCTGGAAAAATCAGCAGCACATATCGAGGATCAGTTAGACAGATGTCAAAATTATCAATATCAGCCTTAAAAAACTGTTTCTGTCTAGCAAATAATGACAATATTCAGCGAATAGCTTTACCATGTACTATGCGCTTTCCTCATTTTATGTGTTTTAAGTAATTCAAACCTCATTAATAACCGACTCAGCTGGACCTGGACCCAACTGGACAAACTACAATGGACAAAGCTGTATAAACATTGTATTGGGATGCTATAGTTAAATTGACATTTTATTTGATATAAACAACAACACGGAACATATTTGTTTTATCAAATGCCATCCTGGTTTAGTGCATTTATATATGGTCCCAGTGTGATAAAAAATGGGCAACACTTTCTTTTACAATACATCAATAACCATGTAATAACCTGGTAATAACATAGCAAGTCACACATTAACACTAGGCAACAAGAAAAAATGTATGGAGAATTTTGGTAATTGCTGTGCTTCAAATTTTAGGAAGACAAGATAAAGTCAGAGTTCTTAGATTTCAAACTGTTATTACCTGGTAACATATTAATTTCCCAGACAGCAATAAATGAATGTGTGATTGTCTGGTAAAATGCAGTTTATCACTTGGTGTATAACAGAAAACCAAAGCTAGAAGACAGCAACCCAATATTCCTAACTAAGCTCTTATTTAATTGTAACTTGAGTTCAATTTATTCATGCTTTATTTACCTGATCAAAAGTTCCAAATTTACTTTGTAAGCAATTGGTAGGTGGTGTCCAATAATAGAAACTGTTGTGTGGTAACCTAATGGTATTCCGTAAAAATTCAAAAAATATCCACTGGACTTGGTTTTCAAGATTTGAAGACGTTTCGCCACCTCTCCAGGAAGCTTTCTCAATTCAAATGTGAGAAAGCTTCCTGGAGAGGTGGCGAAACGTCTTCAAATCTTGAAAACCAAGTCCAGTGGATATTTTTTGAATTTTTACGGAATGACTATGACCTGGATGACTGAGAACCTTCATCAGCATAACCTAATGGTAATTATCCACCAAAAGTCTCCATTGTTACATACAATTGTAATAATTACATGCAGGTTATTATTATGAAATTATATACCGGTACCTTAATTTCGGGGTACTTCGCCCAAAAAAGTTTTCTTGCTAGCAAGTAATATTGTGTGACTTACAATGTTATTACCCTGTTATTAGATGATTATTCATGTACTGTAAAAGAAAGCTTTACTAAAAACTTGGCTTAAAATTTGCTCCTAAGGGTTTTTTTCATTAGTTAGCTGCATTACTGAGATTTCCTTTGCTTGATGAAGCATGAAATAAAAAATGGGGGACCATTCATAAGTCCTAGATGCTCTTAGATGTGGATTAATATGAAAAATTCAATGTGCCTTTGCTAATATAGGTTTAATTTGATCTACCCATGGGGTCCGAATATTGGGAGACCAAATCCATTGAATTCAATTCAATTCAGTTTGTTTATAGCGCCGATTCACAACACGTCATCTCAAGGCACTTTACAGTTCCAGTCAAATTGATTCAGTTTTTTAAGGAAAACTCACACTAATGCTTGTTGCGACAGTGGAGAGGAAAAACCCCATTAAGGATCCTTCAGTCTGTGCACAATCCATATTTTGCCCCAATGATGTTGTCTTGAATGGTGATTTTTTGTGAATCGTCACAATTAAATAAAAATAAATTATCTGCTTGATCATTATTTAATAAATCGGTTAACTGAACAGCCTTTCCATTTTAAACATTATGTTATTAGCTGCACCTGAAGTAAACTCGAATATGCTTTCCCCATTTTTTTCAGTCTGGGGACTATTTTATCCACTCTACTGTAATTTATCTACTCATTTATTTGTTTATTTCATTTTATTTTTTTCCCAAAGGCTCAAGCTTCAAACCAGTTTCCCCGCAGCCATTGACGTCCTCCATCCAGTATTTGTACCAGACAAATACCCTGAATTGTCTCCTGTGGTTTGCAGAGTGGATGGAGGATGCGGGGATGTTTGTTTCTGCTGATCCTTTATGAAGAGGAGGGGAGTGCGCCCTGATTGACGTCATCTTGCTTCATGCAGACAGAGAATGAGCAGCTGAGTGTACAAATATACAGCAACATCCTGATAGCGCTGCAGCCTATTTACCGATGGAGGGGATGTGAAGATGATGTCTCTGCGTGCGTCTTTTTCTCGGGTTAGTGGGGATTTCCTTGTGACTATAGAATAATTCCAGTTCCTATTGATGTGATGAAGCTCATGGATAATTCAGATACAGAGACGCGCCGCTGGGCTTTCACACAATGAGTCAGTCTCCGTGTTTATTTTATATCTACCGAAATATTCCCACTTATTAAGACATATTTATAAAGTGCAAATTACTAATAAACACATTTAGTTTTCATAGTTATTAAGTCCGTGTCTGAAGCTTGATTAATCAGTTTTGTGAAATGGCATCAGAACGCAACCGAGTCGTGACGCGCGAGCTGCAGGTGACGCTGCGCAGCAGGGGAAACCCTCCACAGGGGGCGCCATTTTTAAAAACATTCAAGGTAGGATTCTGCTTAAGATGAACACCAATTAGCCCGTTGCCATGGTGAAAGTACAGCGAGCCGAAGCCTCTTAAAATACATATTTTTTTCACTTCAATGGAAATAACGATCCATCCTCTTAGTCATTTTCATTTTTATTTTGAGCCTATATTTAATTTTTTTTTTTTGCTCACGGAGTAGGTAAAATTCAAGCTCAATGGTTTGAGGACCCAATTGCAGAGGCAGAGGTGAGTTTTTGTAGATTGAAGGAAAGGTCAATAGACAACTGAAGCAGGAATCCAAAAATAAAACATGAAAAAAGGTAAAACAAACCAGAACCATGAAGACTTCAGGGGAGAACAATCACGGCGAGGTAAGACAGTTAGACGAGGAACCAGCACTGAGGAACTGCACAAGGAGAGTATTTATGGCTAACTGAACAAAGAGAGGACTAATGAGCTGATTGGGAGCAGGTCTAAGGAGCCAGGGAAAAAGGAGACCAACACCAGAGGGCAACAAATATAAACGATGGAACTCAAATATATCCAGAAAATACAACAAAATAGGAATTGAACCAATAAAACTAGAAAACATGGAGCAAAGTAAAACTGAATACTCAAGAGAAAACATAACAGAACCAAGACCGTGACAATGAGGATAAATATGGATGAAAAGTTGGCTTGACAAGGCTTCTTTAATTACTCTGACTTTGTAAAAGAGGTAAATAACAGAAGGATGGACAAAGAGTTTGATCTAATTTAGTTAATTTAATTCCAATGGGTTTTTTTTTTTTTTCAGGGCTGCATGGTGGTGCAGTTTATAGTACTGATGCCTTGCTTCAAGTGGGTCCTGGGCTCGACTCCCAGCCTGGGTTTTTTTCCAGCGTTTTTATTGTCATCACACTGTCACAAGTACAGAGCAACGAAATTAACTCCCTGCATTTAACCCATCCCTTTGGGGAGCAGTGGGCTACCATTGTGTGGCGCCCGGGGAGCAGTGTGGGGCTTAAGTAAAGGACTCAGAGTGGCAATCCGTGGAAGTGGGGCTCGAGCTCAGAACCTCAAGATTCCAAGCGCAACGCCATAACCACTAGAACGTCACTTCCCAAAGCAGGCATTAGCGTGAAGGGTTTTGCCTAAGAACCCACACTGGAAGTTTGCATGGCCTTCCTGTGCATGTGTTGGTTATCTCCAGGTACCCCGTCTTCCTCCCACAGTATAAAAACAGAACCCTTTGGTTAATTAATATCTTTAAATTGCCGTTAGGTGTTAGTGTGTGTGTGTTTTCATGGATGTATTGATGGATGGAATATTAGTGTATAAGCTCTTACTGAGCTCAAAATGTGCCTTAAATTAATATCAGTTGGTAATATATTGTTTATAGGTAATTGCATAAAGGAGCAGGAGATACTGAGACGTTGACTGGCCTTTCTTTTAGACAGACAGGGACAGGAAAGCACTTTACACTACGTACTTAGACAAACTTTATTGTCATTTAAAAGCAAAAATTCGTTTATATTGCTTTCTGAAAGTGAATTTTTTTAGCAGCAGCTTAGCAGTGAAAAAGAACAATAAAGTGCAGCTACATTTACCCATTAATGCACACACTCAGACACTGATGGTGGTGAGCTACATTTTAACCACAGCTGCCCTGGGGCTCACTGAGAGAAGCGAGGTTAACAGTAAAAGTCCACCCTTGTCTTGCAGCAAGAAGGGTGTGGGTTAGATTCCTGGTCTGGTCTCTTTCTGCGTCCGGTCCAAAAACATGACCGTTAGGTTAACTGGCTTCTCTAAATCCTCCTAAGGTGTGTCCTGTAAGTCTCTATGTTGCCCTGCAATGGACTGGCGACTTGTCCAGGGTGTACGCCTCCTCTTGCCCGTAGACATCTGGAGATAAGACACCAGCATCCCCTGTGACCCCGCTTGCGATAAAGCGTGTCAGAAAATGGATGGATGTCCAACTCAGACAATCACAACCTTCGATCTTGGGAAAGCCCTACAAGGAAACAATTTTCAAATTAATTAACAGTGACTGCTTTCTTCACAGGTCTTTGTGAAAAATGGAAGGAACATTGTAAGTAAACCTCTGCTCTGAAAGTATTCAGTGGATACTTTATAGGATTATCTGTCCACATATATAGCTGATCAAGTCCTTTCTCCACAGCGGCTACTCTGGACCCTACTTTGACCGCTTCATTCAAAGTCAAGACTCATCAGTGGTAAACAAGTTTCAGAAGAAGTACTGGAAAACCAAGCAGACGCTGATCAAAGTCACTGGGAAGAAAGAAGATGAACATGTGGTGGCATCAGACGCAGACCTGGATGCCAAGCTGGAGGTGAGTCAAGAGTTCAGAGTTATATTAATCAAAAACAAAGCTTTACATGGGGATATGTTGATGTTTCTGGATGACTGCTGTCTCATCCATAGGTCTTCCACTCCATCCAAAGAACATGCATGGAGCTCCTAAAGGTCATTGAGCTCTACCAGAGGAGGATATGTTGTAAGTTCAGAAAATGCTGAAAAGAAATCCCAGATTGATCAAACAGCCCATCAGGTGGGGTTGCTGCTGGTGGCTTCATCACTGTTATGTTAAGACCAGGAAAACATCTGTTTGTTCGTCTTTTAGCTGGAGATTGTCGTTCATGACTGTATGTTTTGCATAGCAAACGTTTAAGTGTTAAGGTGTGTGTATGATCAAGATACAAATGGAGACATTACCTCATGGGAAGACAGCATTTAAACATGAAACCAGTATTTAAAATATCTCCTTTTCTAAAATGAAACGCTTCATTTTTACTGTTCAGTCCTTTCCCAGGAGGAGAATGAGTTGGGTCGTTTCCTGCGCTCCAATGGGTCGCAGGATAAAAGCAGGGCTGGGAAGATCATGCAGGCGACAGGGAAAGCTCTCTGCTTCTCCTCCCAGCAGAGGTAGGCGCCACACATAAGCTTCCTCTTTAACTGACATCTAGATAAACCACTTTTAAAACATTTCCAGGTAGTCTAGAGTTTCTGGTTTGTTCCTGAAGATACCAGTTTCTTTTGATCTTAGCCGCACTTTCAATGGCATTTATAATTCAAATCCTAGAAACAAATCTTTACTTCCATTCAGTAACCAGAGTAGCAACATATCCAAATAAATTAAACTCATATTGAATTATCTTTCAGTAAAGGCAATGTATGTACATGCAAATGAATGTAAACCTGCATTCCTCTTGCATAGATCTCCACTGAGGTCCTTGGCTTTCCTCGGTGTTGGAATATGGATCTATTATTATTTATGGATCTATTGTTATTTAGCAAAGAGAAAGAAAGCTGCAACCAATCAGGGTCATCAACTGGAAATTAGTGTTTATGACTTCTCAAGTTGATCAACTGAACAATTTTTAAAAGATTTAGTTGGATATGTTTGTAATTAAGCCTGCTAATTAGGGTTGCAACTAACGATTATTTTGATAATGATTAATCTGTTGATTATTCTTTCGATTAATCGATTATTAATCAGATAGGAAAAAAAGTTTTTTTTTATCTTAATTGCAAAACATAACTATATTTTTTCACTATTTTGGTATAGTTATTGCTCTAAGTGGGTAACGATTCATCGATTACGGAATTAGTTGACGATTATTTTAATATTCGATTAATCATGACTAATTCAATAATTGTTTCAGGCCTACTGCAAATATGCAATTTCACATTTTGGTCCACGCTATTCTTTAAGAATCAAATTACGTACTGTGATCTATGCTTATTCTAGGTTTAAAATTAATATTACATTAGCCTCTGCACAGTTGGTTATAGATATTGTCTCTGGGATGTATTGTTGATGAGAAACTTAAAATAATATTTAGTCTTTTAGTCTTTTAACTTTTTTAAATCCCTTTGATAGATCTGGAGGAACTCTTTAGACAACATTTAGAAGATTTAGAGTGGAGTAAAAGAAACATGGAGCTTGGATTACAGATATGTGGAACCTTTATTTTAAGAACAACTCTTCTTCCTGCAGGCTGGCTCTGAGGAAGCCTTTGTGTCGTCTGTACCAGGAGATTGAAACGTTCCGTTATCGGGCCATCTCAGACACGTGGCTGACGGTGAATCGAATGGAGCAGTCCAGGACCGAGTACCGTGGAGCCTTGCTTTGGATGAAGGACATATCTCAAGAGCTCGATCCGGACACACATAAACAGATGGAGAAATTCCGCAAGGTTTGTGCTTCCTATAGAGCGACCTACAGTCTATACTATACACTCCAGCCTGTCTGCAAAATGGTGAACAGTTTACAGCTGAACATCAGTTAGCAGTTTTAAAGGCATTGCCCATGTCTCTAGATATTGTCAGATTTTTTCAGAGCTTTTTTAAGGGTTCTGATGAACAATATCTAAACTTTCTGTTGGGTTTTAGTTGTTTCCTCTGTTTTAAACTCTCACCTTTAAATCATTTAGATTAAAAATACTTAAATTAAATAAATAAAATGCATGACAACCAAGCATTTAAAGATAAAAGCTTACTTAAATACCAACTTTAAGTAAGATCCATTTATTTACCAGCTTTCTTTTAAAGGTGGACACTTTTTTAAATAAATCCTTTAATTTAAACATGACTCCAACTGGACTCCCAGAGAGCTAGTAGCTAAAAAATGGCATAAAATAAATGAACTGAAAACAATGCATTTGTCATGTCCTTTATCTTCCCTTTTCTTCCTTAACTTGTCCGTTTATCAAGAGATGGACTTGAAATTAGCCAAAAAGCAGCCAAAGTCTAAAGAAAAATGCTAATAGACCTTCAGAAAGCCTGACAGCAACAGAAGCACAAAGGGGATTCCTTCCTTTCAGATTTATTATTATTAATATTTTGTGGAGATTTGATGTCTGTCTTTCCTTTGGTTTGGTTTATTCCAGAATAAAGATATAAAAGGAAAATAATAATAATAAAATATAACAGCAGTCAAACAGTTATGAGCTTCCTAAACCAACTCTTCATGGGTGACTTTGTTTGGTCATTAGATGACGAGTTAGATGGCATTATTATGTTTCTTCACTAAATCTTTGATTTACTGTTTACCAATAGCAGAATAAAAAAAATAGAGTAGAACAGTTTGCAGTCACAAAAAATGCCACTAGAGGGCAGAACATGCTCAGAAATACCAACTGTTTTTCCTTTATATTATGTCTCAGGTCCAGGCTCAAGTTCGCACAACTAAAACCAGCTTTGACAAGTTAAAGAACGACGTTTGCCAGAAGGTCGACCTGCTGGGTGCCAGCCGCTGCAACCTCCTCTCACATGTTCTGACAACATACCAGGTTAATCACTCTATGTCCCAGCTGCCTGCTTCAACTCCACAACTGTCTTATATTATATTTTCATTAATGGGCAGCTCTTTTTTCCATCATAGAATATATAGAAATGATTCCAAAAATGTTTAAAAAACAATCTACTGGACTTGGTTTCCAAAGTTTGAAGACGTTTTGCTTCCCTTCCAGGAAGTTTTCTCAATTCAAAAAATTTTAAATTGAGAAAGCTTCCTGGAGGGGAAGCGAAACGTCTTCAAACTTTGGAAACCAAGTCCAGTGGATTGTTTTTTAAACTTTTACGGAATGACTATGACCTGGATGACTGAGAATCTTCATTAGCAAATAGAAATGATCTGTGTTTCAGACGACTCTTTTGCACTTCTGGGGAAAGACATCCCACACTATGGCAGCCATACATGAGAGCTTTAAAAGCTGTCAGCATGAGGTTTCCACAGTGAAGGTCAGAGCACATGTCCAGGAGGAAAACATGTAAGTTCTATCACAGAGGAAGGAAAAAGAAATGAACTGATGAGCTGGAATTCTTTTTACAGGCCTCACAGGATTCCACAGACAAGTTGGATAAAAAGATGGAAAAGAAATCAACAGAGGAAGACATGAAGGAGAAAAAAGGAGACGAGACACCTGAAGATCAGTAGGCTTAACACTCAGAGCCTTTATTTTACTTTAGTTTACACTTCACCAAATAAATGACAAATTGCAAAATAGTTTTTAAAGATGGACACATTTCTTGTTGTCCTTTATTAAGAAAAAACCTTAAGATAAATTCAATAACCTTTGAATGTAGAAGGGTTATAATACATTGAGAAAATTGGAAAAATAAAACTTGAGTACATATGTATAGGGGAGGGCATTTTTAAAATTTATTTGTTTATCTTTTTTTTCAAATTCAAAATTATTAGTCTATCGAAAGATCTCTTCAAAGTATGCAAGCCAACCATGTTCTACATGTTACCTGTTACCTACATCATACGGAAACCTTAAAACCTGGTTAGTTTCTTGGATCTAATCAGTTAATCCACGACTTCCTGTTTGCGAGGGGTAGGGATAAACATGAAGTGACTTAGAGATCATTTGTGAAATTTTTTTTTAAAGAGAAACATTACTTGGTTTCCTTTTTTAAATACATCCATTTTAATGTTGCCTCAGTTACAGAAAGATAGACTTTCTGTTATATTTCAAGTTTATTTAAGGAGAAGAAATACATAAACCAAATTACTGAGGGGCTTCGGTTTATTTACTGGTGCTAAAGTGATATTGGCTGTTAATAAAAGTGACAACATCTCTGTGTGCATCCGCTGTTTCTATTGTTATACTACCTTGGCTGCTGGATGAAGGAATATTTCCAGGTTATAAGATGCCCTCTGTTACCATCAGCACCCCTGGTAAAGATGTGCTGGGATACACTTAGAGAAAAACAAAAAACAATAATTAAGTGGGCAAGAATGAATGAACATATGTTTGTGGCAAAATACAAAAAAGCATGTTTTTATCCTCCTATTAGAAACGTAAATATGTAGAACCAGTGATTAAGATCCAGTTCTTCTAAGGTTGTTTTGCTTTTTATTTGACAGACTTATCTCATTAGGACATGAAGACGGGTGCGAAAAGATAAGAGAAGGTAAAAAGCAATTTATTTATTCTATATTGTTTTTGCACCAAAAGACAACTTTACTTTATATCAAAGGGATGTGATTCAAAAAGCAGAATATTTTGAAAACAAACTTAAATGTTTTCATCATCAAAATAAACATTTAGCTTAACAAAGAATGTTTTAATTAACCCTAAGGGCTACTATGGTTTTACATTTAGGCTAAAGCAAAATTGAAATGATCATTTACATTGGTTGTTAGGTTTGTTAACTTCTAATTCTCATAGTAAAATGGCTTTTCTACTTTCCCAGAGTTGGATGGAGAGGAGGACAGCCTGGCCCTGCTCAATGAGATCCTGGGCGGTTTGTTTGTGGATGACGGCGATGTGTCCCAGGAGTGGACAAAAGGGTTTGGAGACACGGAGGCAAGCGCAGCCTCTGGCGGATCAGCTGAAACCCAGCAGCAGCAGGACAACTCGTTCTTTTTGCCATCACAGCTTTTGGACCAGAGCTTAAGTAAGTCTCCCCTCCCAGGCTGATTGTTCAGCTGTCGATTCCGTTTTATTATCTGCAGTCAGACACTTATGGGCAAGAAGCAAAAATTAAGCAACTGGACTTTAATTTTTAAACGCAAAAATCAAAGGAATTTGCAGGTGGTCAGAACTGGGGGAAACGTTGTCAGTATAAAATGGTTAGCCTTGCAAAAGGTTTCATTTGGTTATTAGTTGGGGAACAACCACACATGGTGTCATTAAGAAATACATCTGATTGCATCAGTGGTGGAATGAGGCAGTTCTTGGAATGTCCAATGGTCCAAACACTGACAAAAGGACACCAAGCGGAAGCTTTGTACATATTGTAGATATTACAGTTTTGTGGTTACACTGTGGAGCTTCCAATGGTACATGGCCTCTGCTCATATGGTGCCTTTTAAAGTCAGGTCTATAGCCACAGCTGCCTTGGGGCGCACTAACAGAACCACAGAGCCTTCAGTAAGCAAACAGGGTGAAGTGTCTTTCCCAAGGAAACAATGACATACGAAGCTGTTGTTGGAATCAGCGACGCTCCGTTTGCAGGATGAAAGGGTTTATGAAAGCACAAACATCAGTCGTTTCATCCAACACTGAGCTGAACAGATAGCAGCACCTCTGGATGCCACAGACCAACATTGTTTGGTTCTATATTGTTTCTTGAGTGATCCAAACTTTCCTGAACTAATCCATGCGTTTATTTTTAGTCGAATTGATTACTGCAACGGTGTTTTCACAGGTCTGCCTAAAAAGTGGATCAGACAGCTGCAGCTGATCCAGAACGCTGCTGTCCGTGTCCTCACTAAGACTAAGAGAGTAGAGCACATGACCCCAGATCTACTGGCTCCCTGTATCTCAGAGAATAGACTTTAAAATACTTCTGTTAGTCTATAAATCTCTGAATGGCTTAGCACCTAAATACATCACAGACTTGCTATCAGTTTAACAACCATCCAGACCACTCAGGTCTTCTGGCTCCAGCCTGCTCTGCATACCTAGAACCAGAACTAAACATGGAGAAGCAGCATTTAGTTACTATGCTCCACTTATCTGGAACAAACTTCCAGAAAACTGTAAAAGTGCGGAAAACCTGAGTTCCTTTAAATCAAGACTAAAAACACATTTGTTTAGGATTGCCTTCGACTGTTCTAGTTAAACAGTTCAACCAAAACATATTTTCTTTAGTCCAACTGTTTTTAATATTCTTTTTTGTTTCTGCATTTTTTTATTCAATTTTATTTATTTTTTTCCTACTTGCTTTCTGTTTTATCTTCCTGTATTTTAATCATGTAAAGCACTTTGCATTGTCTTTGTACTGAATTGTGCTATACAAATAAATTTGCCTTGTCTTGCCTTGAACTGTGCAAGGATGGCCACATAGCCACTTTTTCCATGATTTAGTAACATGCAGAGTAATTTGATCATTTGGGCCACCCTGCACAAGTCTTGAATGCTTCTACAGGGCCATGAACTGTTTCTAATACTGTTTGTATAATACTGTTTATATTAATAACAGCATCCTCCCAGTGGTGCTTAGCTTTCGTTAAGTTTTGCACTTATCTGTAGTAACACTCAAAAGACTAAATATTTTTCATTTTTAATATATGCTTACTTAACAAATCTAAGCCAGAGATCTTCAAATGGTGCTTATAGGGGATTCCAAATGTATTCTGCTCTTTAAATTAAGTTTTCTTTAATCAATCTTTCTCTATATGCCAAACTATTATCAGACACATACTTGTTAAATTTCCCCACCTAAGCTGCAGATCTTTGCAGCTCCTCAGAACATAGCTTTGACGGTTTCCTCATTTATGTTGTTTGTCCAGCCTGTCAGCTTAGGTGGACAGATGCTCTTGGTGTTTGGTGTTGTCTCAAATGCTCACTCTGCATTGGGACTCTACTAATCAGGTGACATGTGAAGGCATTTGGTTACTAAGATGAAAACTATTTACTATTCTCTTCCACTTTGCAGCATTGTGCATCTTTTTATAGTTCTGTTTCTCACTTTTAACCTCAGAAAACAGTTTTTTGTGTGTAAATTGAGAAAAATTATAAAAACAAAAGATAAAGAAGAGTTAAACATATCTGTAAAAATGAAGATAATGCCATCCAATCCGCCCAGAGAAATAGGGATAAATAATGCCAAGTTAATATTCCTCATATGTGCAATAAATATGTGCTGTAAAAAAAAAACTTTAACACATTTGCAAATTCTGCTGTTCAGATGTGTGATGTCAGATTATTTTTTTTCCTGATTTATGTGATTATTAATGTAATTCTGGTTCCCTGCCTCAGACTGGACCAGCACCGTCCCACAGCCAGTCACCTGTGCAGCAGAGTGCTCATCTAGAGCTGAACAGAATCCCTCAAAACCAGCTGCAAAAGGTAAAACTAATTTTTCATTAGTTCATCTTCTATCTGAAGGCTATACTTCAATGAAATAAGATTTTGGTGCTGCTTTACAACAAACACATTTTGTTTCCCCGTTGTGTAGAAACGGCTGGGACATCCAAAGATCTTTCAGCGTGGTTCAACCTGTTCGCTGATTTGGACCCTCTCTCCAATCCAGATGCAATCGGAGAAGCTAACAGGGAGCATGAGCTTCACACGGCATAGTTCTTCCTCATCATTGGGATCCTTTTTAAACGCTGCAAACTGTTTCATATATAATATTTCACACCAGAGGTTATAAGGGGAATTTTCTCATTTCCACCAAAACGGATAAAATAAACACAGACAATCAAGTCAGAACAAAATAAAATGTACATATAATTGAAATCAGATTCTAAAATTAATACACACACCACAGTTAAATTTTTTAATGGTCGTTCTAAAAAGTTGAGATATTTTCTTTATTTTAAATAATACACAAGTATTTGAGTTTTACAGCATTGCTTTACACTGGTTTGTTTTCCAAAATAATTTGACTTCTTCCTAAAATATAGGAAATATTCTGCACCAAAGCTACATCTATAGCTATTTAGTGCTTTTCTTTATATTCTTCCATTTATGTCACAACTTTTAATTTTACAAATTTTTGATTATCAAAATGGTACAACTCGTTTAAAACTAGGGTTTCATTTGTAATAGTGACACATTGCCCAATGTCAACAAAAGACTCAAATGTTGACAATAGTCGGGTTTTTGGGAAAAGGAAGGAGAGTCGTGGCTTAACCGGATCTCTGCAGCTTAGCCGCACTAAACAGCATCAGAAGTTCAATTCAAGTCACAGAAGGTTTGAAAGTTTTTAACCAGACTAAACTCGCATTTTGATTGTTTTAATAATTATGATTTATTCTTTAGCAGAATCAAAAATTGCCCTTACCAACATCTTTTTAGATTTACAGCTGGTTTTAAGCTGTCAGTGTAGATTTTGAAATGCAATTTTTTTTTAAATGGTGTTTTGCATAATTTTTTATCCGATCAGCCTAGATATAAACTAAAAGTCACATTCACTCCCTTTATTAATGTTACAGATAGGATTTCTGTTTTGTGAAGTGAAGGCCTCTTTAACTTATCATGTCTCTGAGGTTAAACACTGTGGAAACAAAAATGTCCAAAAGAAGGTTCCTCTACTCCCAGTTCAAAGATTTAGTAAACCCAACCTAAAGTTCTTGCACTGTGAGCGTTTATGTGTGACAAATTCAGATGGTGTTTATTTCTTTTTATGTTTACATAAAGTTCTCTTTGTTCAACTAGCATGCTTTTGCTTTAAGTTATGCTGTTGATGTCGCTGCCTTTCCCCCCCCCAAATAACATTAAACATGCATGCGTTTCACAGTAACTCCTCTTTTTGGGAAACATTTATATTTAGAAGGATTCAATATATCAACAGTATGTTCTAACTTTGACAATGATGCAGCATAAACAAATATATCTCAGCATGAAAGCCTTAAAGTATACACAGATAAGACTTATTTGGAGTCTGAAGTATACAACAACCAACCTTTATGCCATTTTCTATTCTGTGTTGCTAAGCTCTAATTTTCATTATGATCGACTATATGAACAGCCTTAACTTGCTTTAAACATGTGAGATGTAATGAATGCTGATGGGTTTGTCCTTGTGTGTACCGATGCCCTTTAAAAAAGAGAACATATCAACTCAAAAAGAGGCTTTTCTGTTTTCTTTATTGAAAAAAAAAACACAAGATCTACACAAAAACATGTAAAACACTGAAGAATGGATTCATTATTGCCAACAGCAAATGATTCTTTAAATGTTCAGCACAACATGCTTGTGAATGACAGTCAAAACTCTTGAAACTGCAGGCTGAACAGACTTCAGAAGAGAGGAATGTGTCCCACATGTTATCCTGCTTTTTGTTTGAACAAAGCATTTAAGATAAATCTCAATCAGGGGTCCTTAGCATAAACCTGCAGTGTTTATGCTTTATTATCTCCAAAACGCGCTGAAAATCCTGCTGTAATACCAGCTGTCAAACATCTACACTTATTTATATAACCCAAACTGGAATACATTCTACTTTTTGCACTTCTTTTTTTGCTAAACAAAATCCAATTTCACATTCTTCTGATTGTTTTAATTAACAAACTGGTATACAGAATGGAACAGTGATCATCTTTTCCTTTCCAAGTAAGTGCTAAGGCTTGGGCTAATTAATAAAAAGCAGTTGTTTTTGAAATGTTTATGGGTTGAGCACAGATTGTTTAACCCGTTTAATGGGTTGCTCTGTTGTAGTATTTTGGAGAGTTTAAAGGGAGCAGCCTGCTCAAACCCGCTTCCAACAACCTGGAATTTAAAGTTTTCCTTATATATAGGGAAATGTGTTAAAGTGACTCTGATAAGTTGCATCTACTGGCAGAAGGTCCCTTAGTTTTTTATGATTTGATCAGGGATCAAATGTCAATTTAAAGGAGTGACTTAAAAAAAATTGCTTTATAAAGCTTTACGCATCCAAACTAAAAACTCTGCAATTGCTTCTTTTTGTTTAAGTGGACAATGTGTAACGTACTGCCACCAGAGTTTGGCTTTCCAAACTATTTAGGCTCTCTTTTGTTCTTCTTTCAGATTTTGTAATTATCCTGCCACTCACTTTGACTGTTGAACTAAATATACAACTATTATAAGCTTTAAGTCTGAACACAGCTGAAAAAATAGCTGTTAAAAATAGGATCTCTCTCTAAATACATTGGTATTCAATAGTATTAAGGGGTATAAAATGGGCAAACAGATTCTGAAGGTGGTAAATTAACCCAGAGCCTCTTTCGTCACTAAGTTCCTTGAAGTAAAAAAAAACACAAAAAAAACACAAACATTGAGGCACAGAAAATTGCCCTGACATCCCGAATGTGACTGTGTCTTTGTGCCCTTTTGTATTTTGCTTTGGTACACGTGGAATAGCATTGCTACATTATTAGAAAATTCTCAATTCAAATGAAGGTTAAAGTAGCTTATGCAGCTAAGTGGGTTTGCATTAGAGCAAACCTGGAATGTGTCGTAGGCACCTTAAGCTCAACCTGAACAGGTTTAATGTCAAAAATCTGACAAAAAAACAAACAACTCAGTTTTAATGAACCTTCCATTCCTGGAAGTAAACAAAATAAAATAAAATAAAAAATAAAGGGAATTACAAAATATTTCTATGAATAGATAAACTGGGTATTGGTAATGCAGTCACACCGTTTACTTTCTAACTGACCTGAGTTATTGCTTTAAACTGGGAAGGCCAATAAAAAAGGGAATCAGAAAGTCATTTGTTTGTGGTTGGTTTCCTGGCCACTGATTAAACAGCTCGTATTTGCATTTTGTGCTCGGCTCATCCGGTTATGCTGGTAATAACACTAGGTGTACATGTTTAGGCCTGGCCCTAAAAAACCCGTTGATGGACAACTACATACAAGTACTGCTGCTTTCTTCTTACCAACATGCAACAAGTACGTTCAAACATACATGTGAGCAAAAGAAAACGCCCTGTAACCTTAACAGCCATAATTTGGTAAAGTATAAGAATTCCGATATGTGTATTAGCTTCAACACTGAACAGCTAATAAGCTAGCTGGATAACATGAACACGATGCAGTTTTAGCTGATATTGCAAGGTTACAATTTTGGATTTTTTTTTTTATTTTTATCTTCATAAAATTGCCAACGCTACATATAATTTAATTATTTAGTTCTATTTGTTGCAGAATAAGCAAAAAAAATTTTCTGCTATGTGTGTTGATGGAGAGGAGGTTAGTTAGGGATGGGAGGAGAGAGGCTGATGACCAAGGTCAGCAACAATGCCCAAACATCGAGTATTAATCCTAAAACATCAAACAATAATCCTAACAGGAAGTTTCATGCAGCAGGACGCTGATACTCTTTTCAAAGGGCGCTTGTGATTTCCAGAGCCGTGGGCACCCCCTACTGGCTAAGGTTAGGATTATCAGTGTGATTTTTTTTGTGTTGTTTTTTTTTTTTCTTCCTTTTTTTTCCCCATTCCAAACTACCAGGCTAGTTGCAATGTTTTATTTGTATGTGGTTTGGTCATGAATACCTGAGGACCAGCTGGTGAGGACAACATGTGCTGAGCCGTCTCCTGCGTCAGCGCTCTGGCCGCCTGTGCCTACACTTGACCTCAGGCTAACACTCAGGTCAACGCTCCTTTCTGGGGAGGACAAAAATGCTCCTGGCCCCGTGGGCTGAGACGGGGTCACCTGAGTTGCGTGGCCGCTGCTGACATGAAAACTGGGGCTGATGGGGGAGAACAGCGAGGAGCAGAGGAGTTTGACGGGGCAGAAGGCAGAGCCCCTGGGAATGAAGTTCACCTTGTTTTTGTCGGGACATGAGAACAGAGGGAAGCCTTTTGATTTGCCAGAGCTGAAAAGAAAAACAAGTTACACTTACATTATGACTGTTTTTACTGAAAACAAGATTATAGTGTCATTTATTTAGTTAGCAACGTTGTTTTAATCCTATTGTCCAGTAAGAATCAAGGGAAAATTAAAGTTTTTATGCAATTAACATAATTCATTTGGATGTCAAGGGGTCATCATAAACAAAAAAGGAAAGGAAACTAAAGCCCAAAATGACAAATTCATGATCCAATTAGAAAGCCACTACTTCGCTTTAGGTCTTAGTTTAAAGTCCAAAATCAGGGTCCTTTTGAATTTCAGCTTTGAATTTAAACATGAGGTGCAAATGGATATTTATAACAGGTAGGATGGAGGTTTGTTCTTTCATCCCCTGAAAGCAGTATCAACAAAAGTAATAAAAAACAAAGCAGAAGATAAATGTAAAGTTTAAGAAAAACCAGATCCCTGGTACTGATGTCTTAAAACAACTTCCAGTGTAAAATCACATAAGATGCACGTAAGACATCCAGGACGTTCAATAAGTGGGCTTCTTTTTATTTTTTGCTGCTCCTTCACATTGAAAACAATTTTTTTTATTCCATACTCTGCTGAAATGGGTGCAGTGGTCAGCAAATCAGAAACTCAAATATCCTGTATATTTCAAACCAGAGAAAGCACCATATTCTTGGACTTTCTCCCTTCAATGAAACTGAATATCATCTCACCATAAGCTATATTTAGTATCATTAAGGTGTTTATAAATACAAATATAAATTTAAAAAGCAGAGATAAAAGAAATTGAATGGAAGTTGTATTTTCAAAATTTTTCAAACGTCTGTGGTTCATGTGAGCTGCCAACAACAAAGAGTAAAAGACTTGGAGCAAATAACAGGCTGAATGAAGTGCATCCGGTTTATATGAAAAGTCTATAATGACGCGCCTCAGGCGGCTTAACGATATCTCGCAGTGCCTTACGCTCATCCTGCCCGACGTGTTTGGAATCTTTCCACGTTTTATGCTGCACGTTTGGCTTGATGCGTGTGAAGAGCCTCTAGAGCGGCTGACACTACAGTTGGCAAATATCAATTTCTGCAGCTGGATGTTGAGTGTCAGAGAAGCTGATCCAGCCGCTGTCTAGAGACGGATGCTACATGCAAGCAGTGATCACTTCTGCAATGCTGTAAGCATTAAACTATGAAAAATGTATATACATATAATGAGGTCAAACTCCTCTGGTTTTAAAAAGCCAGGAGATTGGGTTGCTTTATGCACAAGGAAAAGAGAGAGTGCTGATCATTATTACTCCACTACAGTTTATAAATACCCACATTAACTAAAATTTGCAAAACCTGTCAGGGAAAATGTTTTGATTTTTAAATTCTGGTGCTTATAGTTTTTTCTAGAAATCTAAAAAACTCTTTATATTTACTTTCAGTCGCTATAAACGGCAGCTGGAAAACCCCGACTACCTGGCGAGCTTCAGAAAGCTTTAACTGGGGACTCTGGCACCCATCGGTATGTGGTGGGTCTGCCGCTCCGGACAAGAACAGAATATTTCTATTTGGGATCATAATCCTGATAAACTGCACCGTTTACTTTTTTAATAACTCGTCAAAGCAAATAAAACCGTCTGACAGCGTCTGACTCCAATATAAACGGACGTCTAAGTTGAGGTGTTAGACGCCTTTCTTACATTCAAAATGTGTTCAGTGTGAACACAACTTTATCTTCTTGAGTACCTTGAAGGTTCTTTTCAGGGTTAGAGCATTTGGTATGTTCTAAAACCTTTACTTTATCCAAACACATGAAATGATGGACAGGCATCCTGGTTCTACTTACACCAGTTCATCAAACACTTTGACCCGCTCACATCCCTCTGGTGGTTCCCGTTTAAACATGTAGCTGTTGTTTGGTTTGGGCGACGTGGCGAATTTGGGGAGAGGAGAACTGCATCCGTTGTCTGAAAACAGAAAACAGAGGAAATGCTTGTGAGGCCTTTTCAGATTATTAGGCAAATTTGGCAAGGCAAATTTATTTGTATAGCACAATTCAGTACAAAGACAATGCAAAGTGCTTTACATGATTAAAATACAGGAAGATAAAACAGAATCAGAGCAAGTAGAAGAAAAAATAAAAGAATAAATTATTTTAAAAAATGATGCGGAAACAAGAAAGAACATTAAAAGCAGTTGGACTAAAGAAAAGAAAAAAAATGAACTAATAATGTTTCAGTTGAACTTTTCAACTAGAATTAAATTATTAGTTATTAAATTAATAATTAAAAGTGGAAATATGGAGAAACATTATTATGAAAACTAAAACTGCAAGTTTCCTGACTCTGTGCATCTATTATTACCCTCGACCCCCCAAAAAATAAAGCATAAAAGTTTTTCTATTCAATGTGTGACTCTTTGTGTCCCTCTCTTTCACTACTTTATAGTACTTTCATCCACGTTTCTTCATATTTATAACTGAAAACTTCAGTATCTAACCAATCATTAAATGTGAAACCAACCTTATCTCCTGATCTTATCTACCGCTGCAAAGGTCTGAAAATCCGTCACTGTCAATGCCATTTTAGTTCAGTCCTCAATCATAACAGAGTAATACCTCACTTGCAGTTAGGAAATATATCCTAATACTAGTATTAGGAAACACTAAGTCTTTTAAAACAATTAGTATTCAAAATTGACAGGTCAGGGTTTTTGAATATTGGTGTTCATAATGCAATTAGGGAACCCCACATTAAAACCAATAACTCCAAACCAAGGGGGCCCTGAAAAACACATGCTAAAGTGACTGTCAACAAAAAAAATTATATTGGACGGGTAATTTCATTTGATGACTGATTAACAGGCTTTTGCTGAGCTGAAGTCATCTGAATCAGGTGTGTAATGCAGAGAAACATAAAAAAACCTGCAAGATAGATCTTTATTCAAATTAACCATAAATAAATCAGGAGAATATCTATAAACTCACTCACTTTTACTGCTAGGGCTCCATGACAAACTGTACATTCTGGCTTGTTTGCATTGCATACAGGAAAAATGCTTTTCCATCCTACCACAAATGTAAACATGTAGCGTTTCCCAAACTCTACTGGGGCTTTTACTGGAAATTAAAAACAGAACATATTTCTCCTATTTAAGGACCCTTTTATTGACTCCCTGTTAAATACAGAATATATTTTAAGATCCCCTTTCACACATATAATGCTTTAAAAAAAGTCAATATTATATCAAAGACGGACTTTGATATAAGACGGACTTCAGGGGGAGTGTTGGCTTAGTGGTTAGAGCAGTGCGCTTGTGCTCTGAAAAGGTTGCAAGTACCCGGTTTGACCCCCACAGCCTCCACTCTGGGTCTCTGAGCAAGACCTTAAATGCCACACTGCTCCCCGGGCGCCACAGAATGGCAGCCCACTGCTCCCCAAGGGGATGGGTTAAATGCAATGGCAAGTTTCTCCAGATTGAGATTAATCAAATTGAATTATTATCAAAAATTTAATTATCTCTATTTGAGTTGAGTCGAAGAGGCAAAATAAGAGAAGACCTTGAAATCTGAATTTATAGAGTGTGTGCAAGGGTAATGCTTAAAAATAGTTCTCTCTAAATGCTCCTACCTAATAAAATGTTATAGAAGACTAAACTGCTGTCATAAAAAGGAGCCATAAAAACCATTAACAGCAGAGCTGATTTCATTCTAGGAATCTGATTCATAATGTGTAGAATATCCACACCAAGTATGTATTCTCAAATTACCATGTTGGATTTTAATTTCTTTTTTAAACAGCCATCGATGCCAATAAGTTGTTAAAACATGTATTAAAGCAAGTCAAAATTAATCTCTAAATGTTCTGTAAAAGTCCATTAAGTGATTATATTGTTCACAATATATTTGTTTATTGGAATTTCAGTCTAAAAGCAGACCAATCTTTGATCCCTGCTTTTTTTTCTTTTACTGGACATTTCAGCTAGATCAGTTTAAGATGGAAATGAAACGATTAATCAAACTATTTTAATTCATTAAATTGCGTCTTCCTATTATCAATAATTATGTAATACGCTCAAGGTTCCTTTCTACGGAGCCCCTAAAGGGACTTGGAGGGGAAAAAATGAACTTTTTTCGCAAAACTATTGCGGGATCTCGCTAAAGTTATTTTTTCCCCCTCCATGTCCCTTTAGGGGCTCCGTACCTTTCAGCTTCGTCTTTCTTCATGCCAAAGAAAGACGAAGCTTATGTGTTTTACGGTTGTGAGGTAGAGCTGCTTGCAGCACTGCAACATGGCGATGCCCTCACAAAAAAATGCTTTGTTTTTTCTTTTACGTTTATACTTTTCACTTTTGTAATTATATTTATTGATAAGATGATTGATTATTGGTAACTTAAAGCTATGTCGGGAAAAATATGATTTCATTTTATAGAAAAAGTAAGATGCAATTTCATGAATTAAGGTAGTTTGGTTAACCGTTTCATTTCCACTTTAACTGAACGCCTACCTTTATCCGTTTCCTCAGTGGAGCAGGGACTTCCATCAGGGGAGTGAAGGAGGTCAGAGCTGCAGGGTAGGGGAGATGGGCTTGATTCACCACTTGACGGGGCCTGGGTGTCTGTGTCACGTGTATCACCGTTACTGCTGCTATAGCGGTGCGGGGGAAAGGGGGGGCGGCGGCCATCCACCGCCTCCATGGCCTGTAAGGTCAAAAAGGAGATGGTGAGAAGTCATGCGTTAAAGTTTGTGAGTCCCAGCATGGCAGAGAGGTCAGGATTTTAAAGAAGACACAGCCCTTCCTCCACAACCCTCAGAGAGTAATTCAAGTACTGATACCAACAGATGGAGAGGTTTTCAGTCAAACAGCTCACTCTCTACATGACGTCACATTCAATCCAAAACGCCATCGAAAATGTTCCAAATCCTAAAACATCTCCAGCTAAAAGCCCTCTGATGTGTTTGTCTAAAGGGATACTGGAGAAGCAAACACCACAGCAGATGGTGCTTGAGAACAGCGGGAGGTGAATTGTGTTCAGCTTTGGCTCTGCTGATTGAAAAGAGAGAGCAGGAAGAAGGCAGAGTGCACAGCAAGCTGTAAATCTGTAGGTGAGTGCGTGTGTTTGTGGGTTTCAGCCATGTGGGTGAGGAGCATCACAGCCCTGCCAAGGTTTACAACCTCATATCAGCCCTTATTTACAGGCCTCTAAGCAAGTTAACTCCAGGAGACTGAAATATATGTAAGAACTAACTTTATAAGCCTGTCTTTGCATGAATCTAATAAATCTTAAGCATGACTAACAAGTTGAAAGGTTTGGCAACTATTAATTGTTTATTAGTTCCTTTAGCAATTCAAAAAGTTCAGCTGTGTGCCTCATATTCTGAGACAATGTGTAAAATATTGACATTCACTTGGCAACAAAACTTTTGCACACTTAAGTGCCCAGGAGAAATAGATGCCGAGCAGGGAGGTGTTTGTACATAGCTGAATTTGCAAGGAGTTGGCACAATGACAGTAGGCATCAGGGGACAATTATGAAACCATCAGGGTCCCATAAATTTAAGGCACAGCTGACTTTTAAATTGCAAAGGAAAGCTGAAACATTAGAAAACACCCAGTTGAACTGCAGAGCTGTGTAACAGGGACTGCTTTCTCAACCTATAAGGCTTGATGTCACCTCTGGTCCTGATATGGATACTAGACACCCAATTACAGACATGCTGCTTAGGGTTTTTTTAGTTTAAAAATATTTTTTAAAAATCCTACATTGAATCAGGGATTCAGCTCAGCTTTAAAAAACACAATTTACTTTAAAATTCCCTAATAGAAAAAAAACATCTGTTGAGATATGTGCCACGTTACATTTTTCTGTGCAAAAAACTAAAACCCCAAAGGTTTTAGTGTGAGCTAAAAATCTGTCTTAAACAAGTATATATATATATTATTTGCTGCAATATGTACAAAAACAGATATTCTTTGATACAGAAAGAATGAGCTCTGAAACTTAAATCTATGTCGGGAAAAATAGGATTTCATTTTATTGAAAAAATACTAGTTTTAATTCCTATTTTTCTTAAAAGTAAAAAAATAATAATGTAAAAAAACAAAACAAATCTATAGTCAGGTCAGGGCTTTGTAAAACTGGTGTTTAAAAATCGGAAAACACATTTCTGATTAGGGAATTTCTTGTACACACAGTGACTTTCCTTATCGAGGAGTTGCATTGTAGGCCTACATGAGGCCAGTGGATGATAATGTGCAATTATTCCATATCCTGTCGTTCATTTTCAACATCAGGACAAGATGTTGTCTGTATATCCCACATGCTATTTAACTAGGCCTCTTAGGTTGCTGAACTTCATTTCCTTCTTTTCCTGACAGTCTGAACCTTCAGCAACCTTATCAATCCACTTGTGATGCCACCATCTTTCCTCTTAGATGCCCACATTAAACACTTCAACTAAATAAATCATTTAAGAACCCATCTCTGGTCTGGCTGTGAACTAAATTACTTCCAATATGGAAATTTCTTTCTATCGATTTGTGAAAGAGATAAAAAACTTGTGCAGAGGCAGAATTGTGTCATAACTGAATCACAGAAGTGTGTTGGAGGTCAGTGTGACTCAAAGCCTTTTTTTCCACGACTGATTACAAACACTGATCCTCTGAGACTGTTTTCTATGGTTATTCTTCTATGCGGTTAGGGGCAGATTGTGAACATTCCTACCCATCTATCACATTAGTCAGATATTAAACTTTGTGAGTAAAACATTACATGACTTTATCATAGCTCTGCAATATAACCATCACTGCCCAGTAAATTATTACATTTCATAGCCAAATATATCTCTGGTGCGAGCACAAATTTCTACCTGCAAGCCAGGCTCCCAGTCGTCTCTTATGAATACGTTTTCCAGCTCATGGTTGATCCCCTCCACGCTGCTCGGCACTCTGCATATGAGCGACTTGTGCACCGGGGTTGACGTTAGAGTTGATGAAGTTCCCTTGTACTATGACAGAAGATGAGATTTGTCCATTAATACGGGATCTGTTCTCTAATATTAAACCCTTTTTAGAGCTAGATTAAAACATAATCCCATTCCCCAGGCAACCTATACACCTCTCAATAATTTCTGCCAGTTAGTTGAGGTAGTGGTTTAAATGTTCCTTGAAGAATTGTGATACCCCCAGAAGAAGTGATAACTCATCAGGTACAGATTCATATTTATGAATAAAAATAATTGCTTGTTGCTAAACAGTTAACAATACTGCGGTACATTAGCATTCATCAATGTATTTGCTTTTTCTTTGTTGATTAACGATTATACATTATGTACATAAATATATTTTTGAAGCAACTCTTTACATTATGAATCGCATTTAAAGCCGAGTACTCTCCATGTGCTCTACAGCAGAGGTCCTGATGCGAGGGGTCTGAATGTACATATTACAAAATTTTCACTTTTCAAAAAGTCTGAATTGAGCCACTTGCATATGTGGTACTAAATAAAATACATAAATTATTGTTTTCAAAGCATTGTGGACAGTTATGCAGCATTTTATCTGACTACATCAGCGCAATGTAATGCAAAACGACGCGTCCTTACAGACTTACATCAGCATTCAAAGCCCTGTGCTATCTGCTTTTTCTTACCTTCCTTTTCATTAGTATGATGTGGTTATTATACTGCAATATCTTATTTCTCAATAGTTAAATAATTACATAAAGACACCGGTATCTACTGTTATGTTTTTTTTTTTTTTTTTTTTTTTTCTCTGAGCCGTTTAGAACATTTCTAGTGACAGTCCCTTACAGATAAGTAAATATTCGGTTGCTGTGTGGCGTCTATATTCTCCTAAATGTGTTGGGTGCTTTGATGTGCTGAACCATTAAGACAGAAGTTCTATTGCATGTATTATATTATGAAACACAAAAACACCATGTAAACAGAAGTGGATCGTTGATGTGCATTTCTGTTGCATAATGATGACTGGAAGTGTCAGAAATATGTTTGGAACCATAAAGTGCATACATCTAGGTTAGAGGGCTGCTTTTAACCAGATCCTGGCTGAGATGAAAAGAAGAGAGTTATGGTTACAAACATATCAGTATTCCTGTTAGTTTGTGAAGCAGTTCAGTGTCTCTCTCTTCCTGGGTGGAAATCTGCTAATGAATGAGCTGCTGAGTAGAGGGAAAGGCATGCCCAGACACATTCCCCGTCCTCAGTCTCCTTTTGACTTCAGTGACCGCTGACATCAACTTGGCATGTTTAATTAAGTCAGTGGAACAGATATCATACATATCTAATAAATATTCTGATATTTTTTTTCACTTATTACAAATACATAAATCTTAACCTATAGATATGATTAACTTAATAATAACTTACAAGTATGTGAATTTATTGGTACAGAACTTCACTATATCTGCTGATAACAGAAGGTTATGGAGAATGATTTCCTAAACTAAATTGTTTGCAGTTTTCTAATCTTCAGCAGCTGTGTTGCAGTTTTGTAACCGTCCGTTTCATTTCAGTGTTTTCATCCAAACTGCTTAGCTCCATTATCATATCGGAGCAGCTTGGATAAAATCTTGCACCACCTAATTTGAGTGAATGGAAATGTTTTTACCTCAACAGTGCATGACAGAGCCGTGTGACATGAGAAACCTACCTGTGATTGGCATGCAGCACTGTGCTGTGCCGGTTGCGGCAGCTGCAGCGAGCTCTGCTCCCTGTCTTTGCTCTGCCGGGTGACCTGTTTGCCGCGCTGCAGCTGCAGTCTCAGTTTAGCAATCTGCTGAAGGGGAAATAAGACCAAGTCAGTAAACCAGCAGGTCACAATCATCAACCACTGCATGAAAAACTTATGATGGAAGCTACAAGCTACTATTTCATGATATAAATCTAAATAAGCAGAATATTTAGTGGAATTTATGGATTAAAAAGGTTCATCATAGCAAAAGGCAGAGAACATCAACGTCAATACTTATCTCATGTTTTGTTAAATTATAACAACAAATTTTATGTACTTTTTGGGGGGATTTTTATATGACAAAATAAGACACAGCATATTTGTAAAGCAAAAGGAAAATAATACATGGCTTAAAAAAAAACAAAACATTTTTGCTGTGTTTTTTTTATTCTGTCCCCTTTACCCTAAAAACCTTAAATAAAATCTATTGACCAAGACAGGACATGGATGTAGTTAAACAGGTAAATTCTGAAAGACAACCTGTTATAAGCTGCCTTATGACTGGGAGCTGAGCTCAAACAAGAACTAAAAGAATTTATCATGATAATGGATTACTGAAATAAACAACTATTTTAGTAATCAATTAATTGTTAAGTGGAGTATAGAGACTCGAAAACATGCCATTTGCTAAAATAATAACCAACTCAGGGCTGTTATGCATCCACAACTGTATGTACAAAATATGCATTTTGAATTTTAGATTGAAAATGTGTGTGGTGTAAATAGGCTCTATTCAATGCTCCCCAAGAGGCAGAGTTTCATCTTTAGCTGGTTCAAATTCTGAAATTCTCATAAAGCAACTTTTGCAATTAAATTATCAATTAAAAAAAACCTTGCGATAAAAAAACATTGATTAGCTAGACCACATGTGTCAAACTCAAGGCCCGTGGGCCAGATGTGGCCCGCCAAGTCATTTTATGTGGCCCGCTAGAACTCCCACAGCCGTCATTTTGATGGTTCTGAGATTTTAAAGGGAAAGAACTATATTTAAAATTAAATTTATGTTGCTCATGTTAACTCAATTTTCCTGATTCTAAATTTCCTTCATTTTAATTTTTTTTTTTTTTATACAATTAAAACGTAAAAAATAAATATGGTTAATTCTACCTCGATCCCCCACAACCGCCATTTTGACGGCTCTATTAGTTGCATTGTAAATTCTTCCCGCGGTTGATTGACGATTGGTACCGTTGCCTAGCAACCAACATTCTACCTAGAACTTTTTGACTAATATGGAAAAAGTGGCGTTCAGAAGAAACCTAACAGTGAAACAGGTTTTAGAAATGCTTCAAAATATGATAGTGATTCGGGCGGAGGGGGAGAGACCGATGAGGAGGACTAGGTAGGAAGCGGCTGTGTGACACGTGTGTGTTACAGCAACAAGCAAGCATATGTTTTCTATGCAACTGTAATTGTCACTTGAATAAGTTATAATAAATAATGAGTTATTTAACATTAAGGAGTCGTTACATTTATTTTACATTACATTCAATTACATTTAGTTACATTTATAAGTTACATCTGGCCCTTTAAGGACAGCAATTACGCTTATGTGGCCCTCAGTGAAAATGAGTTTGACACCCCTGAGCTAGACTGTCAGTAGCAGCCTTGGGTGGGACATGTAAATAAAATGGAGGACACCGATCACCCAACCTTAAAAAACAAACTATTCTGCAGAGAAAAAAAATCGTAAAGTGCAAACCTAGTAGAGACATATCCAAACAGACTTACTAAAACTAAATGAGACAAACTAATGAGACACTACTTAGATTTTCATTTAGTAAAAAAAAAGCTAAAAAATTTGAGAATCTTTATTTTCACTTCACATTTATCTTCTGCTTAGTGTTCGTCGTTAACAAAAAATCCCAATAAAACAGTTGGAGGTTTATGACCGAATGTGATGTGTGCTTTTGCAAGACTCTGCTGCTACCTGAAGGTTTCAAAACAAACTCGACTTCAATGTTGATGCAAGTCAGAATATTTCTAGAGTCAGTCTTACATGCCTGGTGATGAAATAAGTTGGGTCAGTGGGTGTTTCTACATCTGGCCGAGTATCAGCAAAACAACAGGATACCCTTTGTAGGACCAACAGACACGGTTGTGCTGTGCAGACAAAGGTGTGGTTCTTCACTGCAGATCTTGTACTCCAGGCAACACAGTCAACAAAGAGACGTGTTCCTTTCAAAAATGTCCTCCCACACGTTAAATTGCAAAGGTTAGAGAGCAAGAATCCAGGTCACAGCGTTCACTTAGTGGAAGCAGTCGATAATGACAAGTCCAGACAGCCCATGTGTAATCTTAGTTGATGAGAAAAGGAAGATTTTCCTGGCTGTTCTGGGTTATTGATTGTCAGGCCAAGTACCGGGGATTGTCTTTTTCAAGCAGCTGAATTTGCATCAACTTAAGAGTTATGCTTAAATAAAAGAGGAAGTCATGGTATAGAAACTATTGCAGTTGTATTTCATAAAACATGTAGCTCCATAAACTATTCTATGCAAAGACAGTTTTTCCTTTACAACACAACAAATCAGGTGGAGCTCTAAAGGAAAAAAAAACTTCCTTAGCTTACTTTGAAAAACACAGCCAACTGAGCACTGCCTTCAGCCCTGTAAGGAGCTCCGGCAGAGCTTAAAAAACAACCGTCCATAATGAGATTCACACTGCAGTCATACAGGAACAGAGGGAAGACGGAGGTTAAATTTAGCCTGTGGTCTGGAGGGATGGAGTCCATGTGGTTGGCTGGATGGCCTGCCAAGGCCAGCAGATAGACAGGGGTGGAAACCAACTTTCAGGAGAGTAACATTTAGGCTGACCTCAGACTCTGACAAATAAAAACAAGCCAAGTAAATGGAGAACCTCAAGAATGGCAGAAATATTTTCTTTAAGCAGCTGTGTGAATATAATGACTTGTTAGTTGTATGAATCAGCAGTGACCTTAAAGATCGAAAGGTCAAAACAAGTTAAAATACCTCTTTCAGATGATCTGCGCTCCCCCAAGAGGCGGACCGCTGGTGAGGACTTCCCAGTTCAGCTGCCTCATCAGTCCAGAGACCTGGAGTCTAAAAAAAATAATAAAACACACAACAGCATGTTACAAAACAATTTCTTCTTGCACGAAGAAATAGCTTACATATGCTTGCAAATAGCTTACATATAACTGTAAAGTGCCTTGAGATGACATGTGTTGTGAATTTGGCGCTATATAAATAAACTGAATTGATATGTCTAACATATTTATTGGAGTGAACAAGTTACACATTTTCTGGAGAACAGACAAAAAGGAGTGTAAATCTTTTTTATGCAATGCAAAATGTATTCAAATAATATTTTTTATATCTAGGTGAATGTAAACAAAAAGACAGGTTCACATTTGATTTTATGGATTTTACCCTGATTAAACTGAATGTAAATAAAAAGGGATTACCAAATTCAAAGTTAAAATAAGAGAACAAACATTTACAGCTACGCAGACTTTTTTTAAGCAGACCCTTTCTAAACACAGACTGTACAACCCATCATCCAACAAGATATTTAAAGATGTATATAAAATCTGGGTATAACCGAGACTGTTTAAGGCAGTGGTATCCAAACATGTTGTTCTATAAAAAAAAAAAAAAAACAGATGTGCACATACATTACCGTTACATTTTTCTCCTAAATTAGTGTTTGTTCAACTTGGATCCAAACTTTGTTACAATACCTCAGATTTTGCCAAGATCTATAGTTTGCATTTTCATTTATCAATAAGCATGAGAGAGAGAGAGAAAAAAAAACTGAGGGTGTTTGACTAAGCTTTCTTACTGAGCTGCAGAACAAAATCTGAGCCAGAGATTCCTCTAGAAGAGACTCTGTCTCTAATCATGTTGACGCGCAGTGGCCTCAGCCCTCGGTCACACTGGATGTGGAAACAGTATGTAAGCTAGGTGCAGGGACTGTGGCGATTCAGAACCGCACCACAGAGTTCCCTGCAGTGCATTTCTGAAGTGCCCCAGATGCGTTCTGCTGCTTGCCACCACATCAATCTAGAGCAGAACGGATCATTCATGCAGAAAGTCAGCTGATAAAAAGCAAAGTGGGTCCTTTCCAGTTTACAAATGAAAGACTACACGTGCAGACAGTGGATCACATTTTCTGGACTTTTATGTAATAAAAAATATTTTCATGATGTTAAAAGACATCCATAATACATGACACAAGCATTAAAGTTACATTATGCATGTTTCTAATAAAAAAATATGTTTAAAATTGCATTTTTATTAGACTGTGACTAAAACATAATTTGATGAGCAGCGCCGATACATCTATAAGCCTGTAGCCTATTTCCCTGAATCTACTTTGGGTGGAAAGTTGGATGTGACGTCATACGCATTAATATTGAATAGGTCCACAAAAAATTGAAGCATTACATTCAAGCTGCTGCCCCCGCGACCCGACCCCGGATAAGCGGAGGAAGATGGGTGGATGGATGGATACATTCAAGATGAATTTCATGGATACTCAGTAGAAACCAGCTAAGCTCAGACACCAATCGCAACTCACAAAAAAAAAAATAATAATTGCCACGTATGAGTGCGAGCTACGAGATCAAGCAGGGGAGAGCTGCATTTCTGTGTTTTGACCACAGGTGGCAGTATCATTACAAAATCTGAATATTTTAACTCAAAATCTAAACAAATCGAAAATCGAAACTCGATCCAAACAAAAGAAGAGAGACCCATGAGACGCAAGCTACTAGCCAAATACCTGGTTTGTTGTTCTATTTAAAGCCTACAGGTACACCACTATAGCACAATGATGCAATCCTGGCTTGAGCACAGTTCAACCATTCAGTGAAAACACTCCCAATGGATTAGGGTACCAGGTACACAGCATGGCCCTTTGACACTGGCTCCACATCCAATGGAACCTCAGTGTAAACAGTGTAAAAGAAAATATAAAGCAGCCCTTCCCAGCTAGCTTAGTGTGTGAGCCTGTGCAGAAGGTAGCGCTAACTGTGTATAGCTCTGCTATTACCTGAAAGGTAATCAACTTCCTTTACAATGTAGTACATTTATCCATTAAATTGTTCTGGAATGCACCACCGGTCTTCTTACACTCATAAATAGTAACACTAGTTAAAGAAATAAGTGAAACCACAGGGTATTAATAAGCTAAAAGTGTTTCACTCTTTTGCCAAGATGCTAACCTGGATGTTACCACATGAGCCACAATGTTTACAAGGGATTTTAGGAATTAATGACTCTATGAAAAAAATTCAGATACATAATCAACTAAATATTAAGAGCAAAATGTCAGAAAAATTCCTGATTTCTACTTTGGAAAATTCTGATTTAAAATATAACATTTGCAAAATAATGCTTTATCTACCGGTTATAAACAGATTAGAGAACATACCGACTGTTTTAATTTTGTTCAATTTTGTGTGGTTTTTATTTAAGTGGTATAAACTAGTGTTGTGCCAATGCCATTTTTTGGCCCAGATACTGATACCCGACACCTGGCTGTGCAATATCGGTCGATACCGAGACTGTTTGAAATTGATGTGTGTATATATGAACAACTGCATACTACTTGGATGTAAAATAATTGCCATCATGGCTTTGTGAAGCTGCTGCCTGTCTTTGTGAAGAAAGAAAAAGACTAATACAAAGTGAAGTTTTTTATTGCCTACCTGGAATGGGTGACAATAGTTGAATAAACTTTTGGCTCTCAAAATGGTATCGGTGCCCTATTTGTTGGGACTCGCCGTTACCAATACCACTTTTTTAGGGCCCCGATACTGATATTGGTGCAAAACTAGTATAAACCTGATTCAATATTTTTTATTTGAGTTTAATTCTTTTGTTTAAAAATTCTTCATTTTGCAGAGATGTGGTATGTTTCATTGCATATATGTAAGCAGAGCTTTTTGTAGAAGAGAGATCCAATAAACCTCTTTCATCTTTTGTTCTTTAATACAACTATATTAGGACAACACAAAAAAAGCTTGAAAAAAATTTACCAGATCCTTAATGCATAACAGTGTACCATCTGGAAATCATGATCAGGGGCTGAAAATATATCCTCCTGAGGACTGCAAGTGGCCAATGAACAACACTTTGGACTCCTTGATTAATAGCCTTAAACAGACATGATCAAAAACAAAACGTTACTTTTTAAATCGCTCAGAAAACCCAGATTAATAAAAACTAAATGCAAAAAAATTGAAGATTTTAGTTAAAGTGCTCAAAAACTCAGCTGGAAGTTTTATACCCAGAATCAATGAAAAGTTCAGGTTATGGCACAGTGTCCCTGAGGGAAACGCTGTTTAACGAGGAGAAAAATTTTTTTTTCCATAACGAAGCAGAGTTGCACCAAACTTTGTGTTGCAAGACACTGATCTCGCATATTTGTCCTCTGACGACACAACCACCCTCACAAACCTCAGTCAGTTCTAAATTAAATAGTATTTAAGCTTACTTTCCATGAAGACATTTTTTTCATTTAAAAAAATGACATTTACCACAATTTTTTTTTTCCTTTTGTTTGTTTCTTTACCTTTGTGCATTACTACAATTTGCTGTAACTGCAGAGTATAACTGTGGGGATAACCACAATGAATAAACCATTTAATAAAACATTTAGCTGTTCATAGAGGAGTACGATGATGTATGTAGATGAGTACAAAACAACAGCGGGCACACAAACATTTCCGCCTAGAGACACAGAGGTAGTTCTGTCTCAATGAACATGGACCTGTGCTGAAAAAGACGAGGCAACGGTTAAGGTATGTAAATTAATGCAAAAACAAAACAAAAAAGGAGAGGATGTTTCATAGGCCTGGTAGAAACCACATACTTCCCCCTGATTATGTCTATCAGCGGTGGCCCTGCTCCTACAACCCCAGCACAGCGCCTCAACACATCGTAAATGTCAACGCCTTTACGCTGCCTTTTGCATCACTCTGCACAACAAAATCTTCTTTCTCTAAACAGCGTAAAAAGTCTTGCCCTGCAATGTGGAATATCACCCAGTGGATAATGTCGAACACCCATGAAGTTGTCTGAGCTGGCTCGTTGGCAGTGGTTACCCCAGAAAAGGACACATATAAAATGGGTGCTTGTGCTCTCTTAAAAAGGGACCTCTGTGCTTGGCCATGCTGGATGGCAGATGTGTAACTAGCCTTTAGCATTAACATTTCGTCCATGGCCTCTGGAATGACTTGAGCAGTTTGATGTTTCTGCCAAACATTCAGGAACTCAAGGCAGAGTTGAATCTGTTCTTCCTAAATGCAAATTGATAAAAAGGGCACACTGGTTTCCTGGAGCTGCGTCCTGAGGAAAAAAAATTGCAAGTTTAATTGATAAACTGAAACCTCTTGCTACAAGTTTCTGAATGAACTATAAAAGTCATAAGTTTGAAAGTTTAGTTCTTTCTCTTGTTGGACTAATTAAAAAACGAGAGAGAAATAAATTAAAAGATTCTGTGCAGATGTCTGGATTTTTGTGGACTTTCTAATAGGGTTAGTGTGTGTGTATATATATATATATATATATATATATATATATATATATATATATATATATATATATATATATATATATATATACACACACACACACACACACAAATACAGCTAGAACATAAGAAAACAAAATATGGATCCTTTCTCGTCTGTGTGTGAAATCAAATCAAAATACAACTTTTTTCTTATTTTAAGTCAGTCAGTAAAAACTAAATTATTTATATGTGCTATTAATAATTTCCGAATCAACTTTTCCTTTTTGTTTTTTATTAACTTTGTTAATTAAAACGTTACTAATGTTTCCTCCCATTTGGTAGAATAGTCTTTAAATCAATGACTTGTATCAGATGTTTAAGGCATCCATTTCTCTTGCCAGAACTTGATTTACTGAAGCTCCACTCAGATTATTCCTTCATTCAGTGACTTAATGTGCATTTATGATACCATTAACAGAAAGGCCCTGAAGCGTAATGTAAAGGTTCTGGTCAACCCAGCAATATTACATCAACTGGTTCACCTCAGGGGAGGCGTAATTATAAACCCCACATTCATATG